AATTAAAATTAGTCATAAATTTAAAAGTTGCGATAACTTTTTTTTTGGTCCAATACTTTTGACCGGGGAGTGTATATAATTTGTATAAAATTCAGATTTTTATCTGAAGTTCAATTTCAAATATCCCAATTTCAGATGGCCCTTGTGTCTTAAATTCAGATTCTATCTGAAGTTAATTTCAGATATCTCAATTTCAGATGGTCTTGTATCTAAAATATTGAAATTAAAATAGTTACACAGAAATTGGCCAATAAAATATGACTGAAATTGGAATTCAGATAACAAAAAAGGTATCTGAAATTGAAATTCTAATTTTAGTTAACTGATTTTTGAATCTCAATTTTAGATACTTAAAGATTGTCTGAATTTCAGCTTCAGACAAAAATCAATTTCAGTTATAACAATAAGACCATCTAAAATTAAGATATTTGAAATTCAATTTCAGATAGAATCTGAATATTATGCATTAAAGTAATATAAAGAATCTATTACTATACATAAGCAATTTATTTTAATTAATAAACTTTTTATGATTATTAACTGTTTTTTTTATTTATTTTTTTTTACTATACTAATATAATAAAAATTTACAGGTCAAATAATGATCATTCAGAATACATGCTGATTTACTACTTTTGATTATCAGACAATAATTAGTTACAATTAGCATGTATTACAAATCGGCAACCAATCAGTTTTTTATTGAATGATATAAAATTATTCCTAAATGATATCAAATGCTTTAATCGAGTAACCTGATTTTATTATTTTTAAGTATTTCTTTATTATTATGGCAAATGTTATTCATTATATATGAAAATGTCTATTAATTAAAATAACTGCCATATAATTGACGGGATTTCTTACTCCTATGGTAAAATTACTGAGGATTATAGATGAGGGACAAAACCCTTTAATAACAGTCAAAACTTAGATGAAACTATATTAAAATTATAATAAGGTATATGACGAAACCCATTCAATACGACAAAAGCTAAAACTGTCAAAACTATATTAAAAAAATAGAAGAGGATATGACGAAATTATTTTAAGGAAGTTTCAGCAGGCATCTATACTGAGGATAAATCTGCAATAAATATTATGAACCAGTATTATACAATCTCTACTATCTTTAGTGATCTTGTAAAAAGTTTTTTCTCACAGTTCAACATTACAGTTGTGATCATCATTAGTTTCAATTCAGAAATAAAATCTTATTTATTGTCTCTGAACTGGTAAATAACATTTAACAAAAACCAAATGATAGATTTTTGCATTATCTGAAAGATTAATTTTATGTTCAAAATAATATTAAACCTGTCTTGCAAATGTATACATAATATTATTATTTTGAACAAATTTTGCCAAAATATGTGAATTCTTTGCATATCAAGGTGCTAAAGTTGACCTGAAAATTATAGTACCAATACAGATACGACCAAATTGGTTTATATTAGAAAAATAACAATTGGTCAAATTGATTCCCTATTTATTCTACTTCTAGCTATATCAGCAACTGATACAAAATTCAATTCATTTGCTTCAGATGCACTATTGTAATAATTTACAAGCATTTTATAAACTTTTCCTAGTAGAGTTACATCCAATTTAGTGGAAGTAAGCATGACTCCATGAAATGGCTCTCTGCCTGTTATTGTATCATTAATGTTGAGATGATAAATATTCAAGAATTGAAGCAACTCATCAAATTTAAATTCATTGTAAGTCACTAAACTCCCTATAGTTGGTCACGATTTGACCAAATTTAAACATTCTGCCAGTTTTGAATCATCTATCTGATTTGAAATTAAATTATCCAATTGCCAATTCTGCATTATTATACGTAATAATTCTAGCTCGATATTACGACCACTATTAAGTAAAGACCCTAAAGCAAACGTTAACAATTTATTAATATCATAACCTTGTTTGAAAATAAATTAGCGTGTAGCTAATTTCCTAATATTCCATTCATTCTCTTAAATGAATAACACCAGAATGAGTGAAGTGGACCATAATCCTGGCAACATTCTGCAATATGGAGGGAAAGATAAATGTTCGGTGTTATTATAACTGGACTATAATTCTCTTCTACCAAATGAGCGACTATCAGCAACTAAGAGTGGGCTTCATCCAATGTATTATTATCAATAATGCGTGTTGTTAATAAAAAATAGGCTTGAACAAAATTTGCCAAAATCCTCTAATCATTTTCATCTAAAAGATCCCACATAATTGGTATCACATAAATCATTATGAACATTTTCCACTGGTTAGCTATATATCTTGAGAATCTCTCACTAGTTGCTATTTTATAAGGTATTCTTCTTACGTTCACAGATAATTTGAACCGTTTTACCTTCTTTTCCATTTCTTCAAGCTGAGATTTTATAATTTTACCACTATCACTTCACAGCCTTTTACTATTTATTGGACTATACCAAGAAATAAACAATGCATTAGATCAACTATTAAATGCCTGATAGGATCATAGTAAGACAAACGTAACATTTTAGACTATCTAACTAAGGTAGATGAAATGTATTGTCTTCTTTCTTCCTCTGTTTTATAATGCAAACAAGACATTGCATTTTCTAGATGTTCTTCTAAATTTTTTTATCTAAACCAATCGTCCATATCATCAAAACTACTAAAATTAGGTCTTTCCCCTTTATCACTACTAGATTAGCTATTTTATAACATCTGTGACAAGCTGCAACTGCTGATATGTGTTCACTTAATTTTTTGGTAGCAGGAATATCATTTGAGCAGCAAATGACTGCTAACCAAATTCTCTTTCTATTAGAAATCTTGGTCAAAACTGGCAAATCGTACTTATCCCATAATTCTAGTAATTCATTTATAATTAGAGCTAAGAAATGGTTAATACAATGCTTTTTAGTTCTTTGAATCCTGGTAAAGGCCAAGTATTAACATATTTTTCTTTTTAAATCTTATATCACGTGAAAGGTTACAAATTACTCCATAAATTATACTAGTGCTATATATAGAAGATTTGAAAAGTTGAAACCAATTGAGGTTAATTATGATTTCCAAATGAGAATCTGCGGTCTCTGATGTAAAAAACTGGAAAGTTTGATCTTCAGAGAAGAAGGAAATGTTTTTCAGATTCTTCCCTCATATACATCAGACATTAATTCGTTTGCCATATTCTGATTTGTCTATTTTAGAAGTTGCTGCATAAATCTCAGACATTGATACATAGTAGCCAATTAGTCTTTCAAGCTAGGTAGAAGAAACACAAGCTTTAGACATCAGATGTGTCCTTTCACAGTCAGAACTTTTTTCAATATTTCCATCCTGCAAGCTTCATATCAATTTCACATTTGATACATTGGAAACTCAACATAATCGCATTTAAATCCATCCTGTCTATTGTTTCCTATGTTATGTTATGTAATTTGTTCAGTCAGGATACACTGCGAACACTTTTATCTTTTCTTTGATTTCAAGCAATTTTCTTACTATGTATGCTGAAGTAGGAAATTTTGTAAACTTCCTTAAATTGGTATTGAGTAAAACAATATAAAAAATTTTGATTAATGAATTGATTACTATGTCAGAAAGATAAAATCTTTCTTGATATTTAAAAATCCAAAGAAGAATCTACAGATAGTCAAAATTAACAAACGTGTTGATATGTTCAGAATTCAGATTGGTATCAATATTATTTAAATTTGGAGCAGAAAAATAATCATAAAAAACTCCGTCATTCTCATTCAAATAAAATTCTTCGTCATCAATTGGCTCTTCTTCTTTGAGTATTAGTCTTTTATCATTAGCTAATTGATAGATCTGTTCTTTTTCATTTGAAAAACTAGATAATTCATCATATTCTTCATCCTGATTTATTTCAAAAATAACTGTATTACGAAACTGATTATATCTTTTTCTAGATCTTGATTTTTCTGATTCCCAGTTTTTTCTCTTATTACCATCATCATTAGATAAACCAGACGAAGACAAACTGAAGGTTTACAAAGCCTTTCTCTTAGAAAATGCTGGTGATTTTACATTTTGAAGTATTTTTACAACTCAGATTTTTTCAAATTTATGCTTTTTAACAGGTTGATTTTGTTTAGCGAGACAGTTTATAAGCTATTCTTCTAATTTAATATGCCTTTTTTTCATTCTTGGGTCAACCTCTTTATCATTACATTCCTCATAATTACATTCAACTAAATGTCTTGATATTGCTGATTTTACCGGTTGATTTTTTTATTTGAGTTTGTTTATTAGAGCTTCTTACTGTATGTTTAGGCATTCTTAATATGATAATATTGATATAATTTAAAACAAATTAACATTTACAAGGAAAAAAAATTTTTATTAACGTGCTTTAATTTAATTACAAATTTTTATTAAACTTTTCAAATCAGTACATTAAATAAACTATAGATTATAAAACTCTGTGAAAAAATTATTTGAATAAAAACAAATCAAGATTTGTATAATATATTATTCTTCTGGTATTTTTCCATTATATAATTTTACTTTTAAAAATATGCCAACTTTAGGATTTGATAGTTGATGGTAAGCATTATATTTTGCAGGATATAGTTTTTTATTTTAGTTAAATAATTATATTTATTTTGTAAACAATACTTAATTCTGTTTGGCACTTCAACCATACAATCCAGTTGTTTTAGCATTCTTATCATTAATTTATGTCACATTCAAATTTATTATTTATATTGTTCAATTTCTTACAAGTATCTAGTGGTTGTAATTATTGAAGAAGTGATTACAATGATTTTTAGCATTGAAAATCTTAATAAATTCAAAAATAACATTTTGATTTATAAATCCATTTTTGATTATTATAATATTATTTAATTACATATTTACAACCAATTAGAATTGGATTCGATTCAAAAGAAGTAGAATCGATAAATAGCTAATAATCATTTCTCAAGATTTGAAAGATTCCAATTCATCGATTAATTGATTTTTTATTTTTAGAATGTGAATATCACCAAAATTTTATTTACAAATAAAAAATATATATTTTTCAAGAAAATATATTATTATTTATTTAAAAAATCATTTAGATATATAATTCAACTTCATATTCATCAAAAGCAGGTAATTTTAATATTATAATATTTTTTTTTAATTTTTGGCTTTTTGATCATAGCAATTTTTTTTTTGTTTTTAAATACTTTTATTATTTTACTTTAGGTTTATTCCATTTTATGAACTTCTTTTCTCAAACACAATACTATATGTTGGTGAATGGTTAATTTACATCCTAGTTTTTTTTTATAAATATAATATCACTAAAGTTCAATTTTTAATTTGATTTTAGTAGAAACAATTCCAATTTATAGACACAACACGAGAAAAAATATTAACTATAAAGAGGTAAATTTTTTATACATTAATTTTACTTTATAGGCAGATTCGTGTGATAGAAGAGTACCAGTTCAAAAACTGCTTAAGAGGTACATACATGTTATAGTCAAACTGCCTATGTCAACTGTCACTTCAAGCTAAAAATAGAAATTGCTTAGCCGAATCATATCATTAGAGTAATCACTTAACAAGTCTGTTCATAGTACGTATTAAATAAATAGAAAGGGATAAGAGACTTGCAGAATAAGCATTTTATAATAAGCTATTATATGGTAGAGTTAGACGAAATTAATGATAATTACTAAATGACTGCACTAATTAAGATCACTAATGATCTCTATAAAAAATTAAAAATTAAAAAGAAAAGCGACTTAAAATATTAATTTTTATTGGCAATATTAAGCCTAAACACTATATCGTTAGGATAACAAAGCTTATTTGCTAATAGGGAGTTTAAGTTGTAAACTATGAAAGAAATAAACACGAATTTATTTAAGTTGAAGGGTCAGGTCGTCTTTATTGATGATTTATGTTTTAAGGAAATAGATATTGACAAAGATATAGTTTTTATGTTGTTAAGATTATACTTTATTAATTGTATGATTAAAACTTGTTATTTTGTCAAGGTGACAATACAGGATATTTATATAAAATACAATTATAAGAAAGAGATAATAAATATAATAGTGAAAGTAAATATAACTATAATAATGAAGATAGTAAATAAAATAATGATAAACATAATAATAAAGAAAATAAATATCACAACTATAACTGTGATAGCAGTGAAATCAGTGAAAATGATGATCACAATTTTCCTAGTGATCATTGGTGACATTAATTAGCGTAGTCATTTAGTGATGCAAACAGGTTATTACTAATAGCACTTTGACACAAATTGGATATAGGGTAAGTAAATCTATATTTTCTGCTTACTTTGCTAATAATATGAAATGATAGGATATTTCTTTTTATATTTTTGTCCTTAAGTTCAGGAAGTAGAATTCACTAACTAGTAGATACAGTGATGGCAAGTGACTCAAATGACCTCAAATGACTCAAATGACTGGTCATGTGTCATTTAGTTCATTTCAACATTAAATCACAAATGACCAGGTCATTTTAAAAATTATATTATATGATCTCAATAGTTCTGGCCAAAATAATTAATGTAATTTAATATTTCGAACGTTTTCATAAATATTACACGTGATATAATTTGTAATTCTGGCCGGCATATAAAATTTGGCCTGTATTACATTTAAATGACTAAATGACAAATGATTTCAAATGATCAGGTCATTCGGAAGGTCATTCAGAGGTCATTTCTAAATCGCCAAATGACCTGGTCATTTGCCATCACTGAGTAGATGAGTCTTAGACTACCTTTTAATAAGTATCAGTATTGTTGCTATGTTTATCTTTTAAATTATTAATAAGGAAATAGTCTTAAAAGAGTCTAAGTCTTTCGTTAGCTATACCTAATATTATTAGATACATTAAAATAGAAGTATGGAAATACATATAGAAGTAGAAACAAAAGAGAAATTATCTAAAAGTAAACTAACAGAAAGCACTTCGACATAGGACAAGCGAACTCATATTTTTTACCTGCTTTGTTAATAGTATGAAATGAGAGGATATTTCTTTTTATATTTTGGTCTTAAGTTCAAGGAGTGAATTTACTGATCAGCAGATGTATCACTTTAACTAAGGCCATTTATTTATATATATATATATATTTTTAATTTTTTTTTAAAAAAAAAGAAAAAGAAATTATAAAAAAAAGGAAGGAAGCGTAGTCCTAGATTATCTTTTGATAATTATCAGCATTATCACTATGTTTCACCTTCTTAATTGTCAATAGTTATTATAAAATAAAAATTTATTGCATGCTTTACTATATTCCTGTATTGAAGAAAAGATTAAAATGTTTATTAGTTTAAAATTTGCAATATATATTATACATAGGAAAATTTTTAAAATTATTATATTTTAACAAAATATATAAATAGATTTTTATTTTACGAATTATAATTTTACCTAAAATTTAAAATTTAAAAATAATTTTTGCCAGAATTATAAACACATATTATTTCACAATCTATTAAGATTATGCAAAATTTAATATACTGAATTAATATTAGTATATACGCACTAATCCTAATAAACAGTATAATAATAATATTATTATTAAACAGGGTATTAAAATATAGGTCAAAGACTGATATAGTCCTGTTCAAGTAAAAATATCAAATATTATAAATATAAATATTTTAGTAATTTTGAAGTAATTAAAATTATTTAATAATTTTAATGAAGTCTCTGTTAAAGAATCTGTTTGTAAGGTAAAGGCAAATAAATTTGTGTTTGGTCTATTATTATCTATTTAGTATAAAATCATCAAATTAAAAATTTGTTAATAATTTAGCTCAAACTTTATTGTAAAGTTGATTTTCATGATAATATTATTTATTTTTATAGGATAACTTCAAAACAAAGTATTTAATATTCATTATAAAGATTATTATTGTTATTTTTTTATTTTTATTTTTATCTTTTTTTTAACACTATATTTTTTTAAAAAATGATCAATTGAAAAAGTATTTGTTATTAATGACTTAGAAATTATTTAAAGGATAATTTTGATAAGCTTACCTAGGATGATAATTACCAGTTGGCTAGTGCAGTGTTATGTTTACATAAAGAAAGAATTGTGCATCGTGATTTAATAACCTTACCTAAGATATATTTATTGATTCTTAATATTACTTTAATAATTAATATTTAATTTTATACCTCTATATTTAGCATTCTAGTAATATATTAATTCACTAAGGTTTTATTAAACTAGCAGACTTTGGATTATCGAAAAGAATTAAAAGCTGCAAGTAAATCAAATGTCAAAAGGTTTTAGTATATTTCCTTATGTTGATCTAAAAAGATTTGACTGGCAGAGAAAAAGTGCTAACACATTACAAAAATATATGTTAAATAAAAAAAATGATGTTACAGTATTGGTATTGTTAATAATAATCTATTTGTATCACTAATTTTACTATTATTATCATAATTATCATTATAATATTTATTATATTTATTATTACATTTATTATTATTATATTTACTTTCATAATTATATTTATTTTATTTATTATTAATAGTAACTTCATGGGTTATTAGAGATTACTATATAGTTCATGGTAAGCAATGCATTGATTGGATATTTTGCTACGAAGTGATAAAATCCACCAATCAATACATTGCTATAGTAACTATAAAGTTATTAGCGATTACCCGTTAAGTTACGATATAATTATTTGGGTCCACTAATTATTATAAAATAATATTTTAAAAATTATTCTTTTTTCTTTCTCATTTTATATCATTTAATTTCAATACAACTGCATTTTTTTATTATGCCAAAATCTAAATAAAAACCTTTTAAACCCTTTTTTTAATAATAAAAAATTATTTTATTATTTAGCCAATTTTAAATATAATGATCTTAGAGATAGTAATATATAAGCAATTATTGATTGTATTTCAATTGATAAATCAAATAAGAATTGGGTTATATAGTTAGAATGATATCATGTAAATTTAAATGAAAAAATTGAAAATGAAATTGTTTTTCAATATATATAATCAAGGTTCTTTATTTATTTATTTTATCATTACATATTTTTTTTTAAAAAAACTAACATTCATATGTTTAGAATTGCAAAACTTTTCTGCACAAAAGAAATTAATTGAGAGTTAATTATTGACAACTGATCTCTCATTTTCAACGTATTTTTAAAGAAAATATATTTAATAATTGTTCTTTTATATTTAATATTAATAGTAAATAGAATTTAATTAAGTATATATAATAATTAATAAATAATTAACATATTAAACTTTTTTTAATGTATTTTAATATAAGTAATAACTTATATTGTAATATTATGGTTAAAGTATAAATAAACTCTGTCTGTGAAAAATTACTTCACAGACAAAGTATAATAATCATATATGGCTTGTGTAATTATATTTATTATCTCATTTTTTATAATTGTATTTTATATAAATATCCTGTATTGTCACCTTGACAAACTAACAAGTTTCTATCATATCATTAATAAAGTATAATCTTAATAACATAAAAACTATATTTTTGCCAATATCTATTTTCTTAAAATATAATTTATCAATAAAGATGACCTGACCTTTCAACTTAAATAAATTCGTATTTATTTCTTTATAGTTTATAACTTATACTCCCTGTTAGCAAATAAGCTTTATTATTCTAATA